GTCACCTGTCGGGTGTTGGGTGATGTCTTGTGGTTTTAACTTCCATTCCTCTGAGTGCTAGTGGGACTGAGCACCTTTCCCTAATGGCTCTTTGGAGATCCTCTTTTGTGAATTACCTATGCAAGTCTTTTTTTGTGAATTTCCTGTCAATAATTTATTGGAGTTATTTATAAATTCTGGATGCAAACTTATACAGGTTATAATGTGTTACAAAAATGTACTTTTTACATTGAGACCTACAGTCCACCTGGAATTCATTTTTTGGTGAAAGGTGTGAAAGTTTCATTATTTTCCACAGCATCATTGCGCTTGCAGCAACACCTTTCTCATAAATTGTTTGTATGTGCATGGATCTGTTTTTGGACTTTGTATTCTGTGCCATGGGTTTATTTATCCATCTTTGTACACTTCCCTCACTGTGTGGATTACTGTAGCTTTTAAGTAGAGCAGATCCTTCCCTTTCTTTTTATTTACTATTGATGATTATTTTTGGCCCTTTACATTTCCATAAAACTTTTATAATCAGATCATTAATTTTCATTTAAAAAATGGTTTGGCTTTTTATTGGGAATGTATTAGTTAATTTAGTGAAAAGTGACCTTGTTATAATTCTTTCAATCTGTATATATTTTATCTCTCATTTTGGTCTTGTTTAATTTGTCTCAATAACAGAGTTTTCTGTGTAGAAAACTTGTACATCTTTGTTAAACTTTTCTATATGTTTGATATTTTCTGATGTTATTATAGATGGTAAAATTTTCTTAACATAATTTCTTATTTGTTGCTGGTATATAAGAACACAATGATTTTGTATTGAACAACCTTGCTAAAGTTTTATTACTTCTATTAATTTATCTGAGATGGTATTTTTACCTATTCCTGAGCACTGGAGGGGCCTTTGTACATTTGGATTCCATATTTCCTCATTCTAACTTATATATGATATTGTCATTATGTATTATAATTTTATATATATTTTAAACCCTGTACCATATTATTATTGTTATTAGATGCAGGAAATTTTCACTTTCACTATAATTATAAATAATCTTCTCTTCTTTGTTATTCATTCTTTCCTTTACCACCAAGTCTATCTGTGAATGTTTCCTTATGCCTAAAGAAGAATATTTTTTAAATATTTTCTTTAGTATGAGTCTCCTGGTCAAATTTCTTCTAGGGTTTTTTTTTTTTTAAAAAGAAACCTGTGTATGACTTTATATCATATTTATTCTTATAGGATAAATTTGCTGGTTACAGAAAGATAGGCTGGTATTTTTTCTTTTTCCATTTGAAGATATGACTTCATTTTCCCTGGTGTCCATCTAACAGAGCTACACAACAACTCTATGTGTTCTTGAAGATGCACACCAAATGGCAAAAGTCTTTGCCTAGAAGAATGGGTCTTGACACCTCTGAAGGTTCTTGTGTTTATTAACATTCTGAGGTCTCTGTCTCATGGTATCTTGAAAGGCTTTTCTTCATTTGGCCCTGGTGGATCTTTTACCTTGAAGGCTCTTCTGCTTCTCTGCCTGTAAAGACTCTTATTCAACCAGTAGTATCTCAGTTTAGATACCATGAAACCTTTCTTAAACTTGTGCCCTAGAATATCCAGTGTAGCCCTTACCTCCGGTTTACAGAGGCCAGTTCTGTATGAGTCTCTCTGACAGATTAGGAGCTAGTTGAGAGCATAGACTATCCTCTTATTCATCTTTGTTGTTTCCTCCACTAACATTCCCACCTGTGGGATTAGGAGATTGGGATTGGGGGGGTGGCACATGGTGAATGCCTAAAAATTTTGTTGATTTGAAGGTATATTTCACATTTAAGAAATAGAATGTATTTACTAAAAGAATACATAAGAAAATAGTATATTTTCTTAATTCTATGATCTGTGTTAATGAGTACCTTGATGATACATAATTTTGAAATCTGAGTAATATTCCCTTTCTCAGGGTCACTAATGACCTTCCAAGTGTTTTACTATGCAATTGTATCATTGGTTCCCATGTTGCCTGGGGCAAGTATTCTCAAAAGAGTATCAGTTGTACTTCATTGCATAAGTATCAATATTTGCCTTGTAGGGAACAGAAACAGTTTCCCTAAAGAAGATGCATTTTGGAAAGTTAAGAAAGTTGACTCAGAAAATGGAAAGTTGGGGAATATGGTAGATTGCATTATCATTCAAAAAATATTTGTTGCACTTCCCTGGGAGAGGACTGAACTGTCCTACTCCAGGGACATAAAGATTGACAGTGAGACTTGCTCTGGACAATGAAATGTGATGGGAAGTATGTGTGGCACTTCTTCCACAGTGTCCAGCTGTCTTCCAGATAGAGGAAGCTAAGTGGCTCTGGAGCACAAGAAAGAAAAAAAAACTTTGTTGTAAAGCTACTGAGATTTGAGGGGTCTTTTGCTACTACAACATGAGCCAGTCTATCCTGATGGAATCAAACAGCATTCCAAGTAGAGTGGATATAGTGACAAATATTTGGAGCATAGAACAGCAAATGACAAGTAAAGGCATAAGATTGCCATGAAACTGCAAACTAAGATCTGATCTTGAAGTTACTTCAGTAAAAATGTGGAAGTTGTGGGCTTCCCTGGTGGGGAAGTACATGGAATATAGTACATGGAATGTACTATAAAACAACAGAGTGTATCAAATCTATGTCAGTAGAAGCTTTATGTCTTAGAGGTGTTGGAAAACTTGGTTAGTTGTTTGTGGAACAAAAACCAACATGCATGTTCACTTCATATCAACTTGCCAACCCTCAAAATAGGTTTGTGGTTAGCTCTCTATTGTGAACTTATCTAAACCTAAAAACAGGTTTTAAAAATCACAGGGAAAAAAATAAAATGGATAGACTCAACCACATACAAAAACTTGTTTTTATATGTCCCCCACTTTACCCTATTCAGGTTTTTAAACAAATAACTGGGAAGATGCTTACAGAGGATACAAGCAAGTATTGGTATTAAAAGAACTTTAATGAATAGGTAAAAGCAGTAAGAGGAACAAAAAATAGGAAAGAAGATGAATGAATAGTATAATTAGATTATTTATAAAGTTAAAATCAAGGGAAAAACAAACATTTAGGAAGTGATCAATTAAAGAAAGTGATTGAAAGGACAAATTTTCCCAAGAAAATTAACAAAAGTTATTTTTAAGAAATATTATGGGGCTTCCCTGGTGGCACAGTGGTTGAGAGTCCGCCTGCCGATGCAGGGGACATGGGTTCGTGCCCTGGTCTGGGAAGATCCCACATGCCGCGGAGCGGCTAGGCCCGTGAGCCATGGTCGCTGAGCCTACAAAATGATAGGCACTTCTATAAAGTACTCATAGTGGCATGTATGCTTATGTGGTTCTTTTGCAAAGTAATTTGGGAATATGTATCAAAAGCCTTCAACCTTGGCTTAGCAATTCCTCTTTTGGCACATTCATCCTAAGGCAGTAAGTTTAAACGTAATGAAAGGACTCTACTCAAAGGTATCCCTAAGAATATTACTTATGTTTTGTAAAAATGGAAGTACCCTAAATTTATCGCATTCAGGAAAATGTATTTATAAACTATAGAATACATATATATGTATTTGATGGAAAATTAGGAGAACTTTAAAATTGTATTTATAATTTGTAATAAGGATGAAAATGTTTATGCTATGGTGACAATACAATATATGCATTTGATCAGAGTTATATAAAAGAAACTATACACACACAGGCACATAAAAGATTGGAGGAAATTTCCAGATTGTCAGCTTTTAAATGCTGGGTCCATTAGGCGATTTCTTTTCTCCTTTATATAATTTGGCTGAAAATGTGGTTGATGCTAAAGTAGGAGCCTAGAGGTTAAAGTCTTTCATCTACTACGTAGAAGAAACAGTCATATGAATGAATCAGACTGGAAAAGGCATAGAATATAGGGACAAAACCAGAAAGGGATGTGGAGTAAAGTCAGGAAAATGCACATACTTTGAGGCAGGAGGAGAACAGGAGCCTGTCAGGCTTGAAGTAGGAGGAAGACAAGAAAAGTGAGGCCTCCTGAAGCTTTGGGTGGAAGAATTTCAGGAACAGAGCACCACCCATCAGTGAAGGCAGGAGGGGAGGAGGCAAGGAAGTTGATGATTAGAGAAGGTTGACCTTCCAGCAACCTCAGTTGAGTCCAGAAAATTAAGAGCTGAGAAGTTTGAAACTGATAAAGTGGGCTGTTGAAATGGACAGGAGGAAATGGAAGCCACACTTGCCTTGCTCCAAGAAAAACAAAATCAAACAGAAAAGGCAAATATATAGCTATAGGTGGCATAAGCAGTGGGCTTTTTTCTCTGCACTGGCAGTGGTGGTGGGGTTCAAGGCTGTCTAAGTGGGATGTGCACATCAGGAGGTTAGCACTGGGATTCAAATACAGGAAAGCAGACTGGGTGCTTCTCCTCAGCTCTCCTTGATGCCTTTCCTGTGGTTGGAGCAGAGCATCTCAGAGTATACTCCTGCCCTCTGTGCCTCTCCAGCTCTCGGGTGGGGGTCCCTGAGCTATCCCAGGTGTTCCAGGGTCAGTGCCTCAAACATCTGTGCACTGTTGCTCTAGATGGACTGACAGGGGATGACTGATAAAAACCATTTTGCTCAGTAAAGCCTTGAGCCAAATCTCCCCTATCTACAATGGAGACAAAGGGGACCATTAGTTGAAAACTAAATGAGATATTTGGCACTATTCTGTGTTCTAAGCTAAAGGCTTCCCCCAAAGTTTTCTCAGGGACAGTTCTCAGCTGAGTATTTAACCTTAGAAGAGTATCCTCGTCATGACCTCATACATAGACTGAAAATCACTCCTCTCCCAAGTTCTTGATGGGTACCATTAGGCGCACGGAGGCAGATTGCATGGTTGTGGACCACCCCTCCGTTCTGGACTTTTCATATGCATGCTGTTGACCCCTGGAAGTCAAAGCAAACTCTTTGCCTGCTGTGTCTGATCTCCAGTGTAACTCCTGTCTGTTTACCATAGGTGCCTACCCTCGGCTCTCACTGAGCTTTCGGTTGAAGAGAAACATTGGATACTTCATTCTCCAGACCTACATGCCCTCTATCCTAATTACAATTCTCTCATGGGTGTCCTTCTGGATCAATTATGATGCATCTGCGGCTAGAGTTGCCCTTGGTATGTGCTATTTTTAAATGATACCTAAAATGTAAAGTCACCATATCATTACAGTATTAAGGGAGTACAAAGACTATAGTTCAACTACAATTTTTTGACATCATGACACCAGTCTTGCCCATATAGTCACTTTTTATCGTGAAACACTAATTTCATGCATGATTCTCTTGATGTGTTAATTCAATTATAAGGCTCAAATGTGAATTTTCATGCCTATGAAAGGGAAAATATGCTTGCCGAATATTTGCATAATAAAACTATTTTTGACACTAATTTTAAAGCAAGGATTAACATCTCCTGTTCAAAATTATTCTATGGCCCAGAAAGAAGACTTGATTAATTGTGTGCATTCTTTTTTAAGTCAGAAAAACAGTCAAATGTTATACCATATAATTGGAATTACACAAATTAATGAGCATTAAAATGTGTTATTAAATTCTGAGTGGTTCCCCAGAACTCTAGTGATCTCTTCTGGCCATTGGTCAGTTGACAACTGGATTATTAGCTGATGTACAATATACATTATACGTTCCAGTATGATTTCTAATATTTTTTAATTATTAAGGGAAGGCTTATATTTTCAGAAACATTATTTTCTATTGAACTAATTATTATGAAACTGCATGGACAAAATAATTATTTAAATACATTTTAGGTAAGTACTGAGCTTTTAGAGCTGAAGAGCAGTTGTCCAGTTAATCCCTTTGGGTAGGGTTGAATTTAATTCCTGGGAGTGAAGTCATCAATAATACCTTTCAAAATTGATGGGAAAGAATTACAACACATCTGCTGGTAAGCCTGCAGAGAAGCATAAGAATTCAGGGACCTGGTTGTCCCTTTTTCTTACTTTTTCTATTTACCATCTCTTCCCAGGAATATAAGTTGCTTAGCATCATGCTTCCAGGAGAATGTGTGTACATGTGCGTAAGTGGACGTCTGGTTTAGACGCAAAGACAGGTGACTCGCACTGATTCAAGATTAGATTTCTTTTCTCATGAAATAACATTTAACAGTGACTTATTTTTTTCTAATGAAATAACATTTAACAGTGACTTAAGAAACTTAGGTAGTTATCTCTAAAGTATTAGGTGAATGTAAAAACACTTTGAGCAGAATAAGGTTCAAAAAATCAGAAGCGCTGTTAATCTATTTCTAATGGGCTTGGTAAAGGAAAAATCTCTCGAAAAAACCTTCAGGATTTTTTACCACCTGCAGAGGTTACCCTGTAACATCAGTCCTTTCTGTAGGTTTTGCCTTTTTTGTTATGTTACTAGATTGCTCTGTTAAACTATTTTCTCTTCTCACCTGGAAAATTCACAGCTAAAATGAATTTGCTAGGGCAGATCCAAATTTTGTGGAGCTGCTAGCTTATACAACTTCAGGAGCTCTCTTTAAGAAAAAGAATATAAAATACATAAATACAGAATTTCCAGAACCCCTCCCGAGCCTGTAAGAGGCCTGTATTAGAGAAGATCAGAAGCTGAAGCTTCCTGAGCTTCCAGGGAATCTGCCTCAGAGAATCTTTTATTTTTGAGGTAATTAGAGAAATATGAGTACTAAAGAAGCAGAATTATCTGGCATCATCAGAAGAGAGGTGTACTGAAAATGCAAATTTCTCAATTTTCTGGATGATCCAAATTCTATAGCTCCTAAATTGTAAACATCATCTTCCACAATATTAAATAGATAATCTATCTGGAGTGGATTAGAGTCAACATAGCCTCATTACAGCATATGAAAGTAGATTCCACCTTTTCCTGTCAACTCAGTATTGTTACTATAAACCTCAATCATGCTTCTGGGATGTTTTCATGTTCAAGAAAACATGAACATGCTTCATGCTTCATGTTTTGCTGGGACAGAGGAGTGGTCTGTCCAGACTGGCTAAGGCATTACCACTGGAGGTGTGCAGGTTCTGATGGATATCAGAAGTCTGGGAGGCAGAATTGAAGGCATTTGCCAGTGTTGGGGTGGACCTGAGGCCTGGAGGTCGAGAAGGCAGCTGGGATCTCCAGGCTGCGGTATCTGGCCAGATTGATGTCCAGCAGGTCCTGCTCTCAGCATGGGACCCCAGTCCTCTCACTCCTTGTCTCCCAGCTTCTGCGTAAGACATGGTCTCTGAGCCTGGGCCTGCAGGACTTGGGAAGTGACAGCACGGCAACTCCAATTGGTTAAGGAAAAGTGTATCATTGGGTAATGAACCCTAAATAACAGCAACAACAACAGCAATCATTAAGGCTGAAACTTACCAAATACTCAGGTTCTAAGTTCTGTGCAAGGTCGTTGGAAAGTGGTTACCTGATCCATGGTGCAGAAGATCCATAGCATGATAGGCAGGGTTATCGTTCCCATTTTACAGAGAAGGGAGTGAGGTGCAGAGAAGCTACATAACTGGTGCAAAGTCAGATAATATTAAGTGTCAGAAGAAAGATTTTAATCCAGTTTGTCTGACTTCAGGGCCCTTAACCACTACACGTGATTTCTACAGTGTCAATAGACAATACATAGAAGGGTTCTTTGGTCTATTACATTGTAAAAATGATGGATTTTTTTAAAAGCTCAGCAAGAATTATTATTAACCATTCTTATTAAGGAATCTCTCAGAACCTTTAAGATGCTAATGTGCTCAGTGCCTCTTGGAGAGGATATGGCCGTGGTTTGGGGGGCTTTGATTGGAGAACTCCCCCTCCCCCAGCTCACTTCATGTGTCTTGTCATGAACTACACCCTTTGAAATGTTTAGAGTGCTGTTTGCCTTCATCCTGAATGGTTGCACAGTGGTGAGTTCTCCCCACTTCTAAATGAGGTCTGAGAGGTGCAGGTCTGCACAGAAGGGTGCTCAGTGAAGACCTCCTTGGCATGTCCCTCCAGCTCAGGGCACTGTTAGACCTGGAATTGTCAGGGGTTGTCTCTACTAAGAAGGGAAACTCTGGTTCTTCACCCAGTTGTGCTGCACAGATGCTCTGTGTGCTTCAGGATCTTATGCTTCTTCTGCCCAGGGTCTGACCCCCACATCCGTTGAACTGTTAGTGTTAGAAGCTGCCAGACTACAAAGTTGGGAGCTGTAATTACATGGTCATCCTCAAAAATCCTGAAGTCCACTTATCAGTGAATAATAGTATTGGTCCTTCTGAAAGTGAAAATTTACACTAAAATAATTTAAGCCACATTATTTAGGTCACAAAGAAGAAAAATTAAATATCTTTTGATTAAATGATATAAATTATATTTTTATTTCACAACCTTCTTTATAAATGCAGTTTTTCAAGCATATTTCCTTAATATAAATGAGAAATAATTTGAGGCTAATAGTTAGCAAGACAACAGCTTGGTAAATGTATGAAGAACACAGAAGGCACCACTCAGTCTCCCATTCTGCCATTGGATGGGGTCCCCTTTAGAGATCAGAAGTTCAAAGAGAGGCTGCCGGATCTGGGTCTCCTGCCAAGAAACTGGAGGCTACCAGAAAATGTATTTTTCTGTGATGCTGTTAATGATAACATCTGTTGTTGCGAGTGTTAACAATGCCAGTTACCGTTATCCCATCACCATGGTGTTTAGACTTCACAACACATTTAGACAACAGTTGTGGACCTATCAAGCTCATTCAGGTCCTGCTGCTGGTACGTGGTGGAGCAGGGCTTTTGGCCTGGGCCATGTGGTTCTACTATCCAGGCCGTGAACCACTGCATCCACCACTCTCCACAGTTATCTTGATAGAAAGGAAAATGATACAAAGAATTAGAGAATGCATGGCCTTTCAAGCTAAGACATCATGTGATCCCAAGCTGGAAAGCCAGGGAACACTCACCACAAAACCTTACTCTTAAGGGACTCCTTGAGCTGGTGCTGATGGGCCTGAAGCCAGCGTCCTTGCCCATTTTCCTCGCCTTTGCCAGGCTGAGTTCTCGTTGACATGTGCTGGCCGTCCCTGTTTTGTGTTACTTTAGCCCATTTTCTGGGGACATGTACTGAGGTCTATGTTATACACATCCACCCAGAATAATCAACTGGAGAGCCGAAGCAACGACTAAAGCAGAGCACTTTCCAAAGTCCATTTGGAAAGAAAAAAATAAGTTGTGGCAACAACATTACAAAATTTTTGAATAATAGTGAGAACAGCTAATTTTGTAGCATCTGCATGGTGTTTTTGCACTTCTTTGTAAACTATAATTATCCCATTGCCATTTTCAAATTTTAAAAGTCCCCAGGTACACCTGAATTTTATGTTAAAGGTGAGTCTTAAAATATCCTGACATCTTTGACTTCCATATATTCATCGTCAGCTCTTGTTTGCAGTCAGACATGAAAATAGGTTTTCTGCTCCTCGCTTCCCTCATCTCCTGCTAACAGCAGCTCAGTATGTGTGGGATGGAAGCCTGGGCTCTCTTCCCTCTTCTCCAGGTGGTCACTAGTGAGGGGAGCCCTACACTCTGGCACTCATCCAAGGATGGGATGGGAGTCCAGAGGGCATCAGACTAAAATGCTTAACAAACCCAGCCCCTTCCCTGGAGAGTTGAGTGGGGGTCCAGTGGGGTCAGAGAAGTGGTCTGGTGGGACCATGTGTCTGAGTGGTCAGCCTCTTGGGCTTGCACCGCCTGCTGGTCTAGGGGACATCATTGGTTTTCTGGGTTACTATGGCTGAAGGACCATGGCTAAAGCTCTCACCTTGCAAGTCTCCTTGAGAGAAGTCCTTATGTGGCAATGACCCTCTCCTTTGGGTCCTGGAAGACACATGAGTAATCACATTCCATGGTACCAGTCAAATGGATAGAAAAGAGTTGGCTTTTTGGAGCTGCCTTACTTTTTTGAGACTTCTTAATATTTCAAAAGTACTGTCTCAAAGAGATCAAGTCAGCTGCAGTAATGCCCGTGCCACTGAGAAGTGAGTGATACAGTTCATTCCCACACATGTAGCTTCATTCAGCTCAGCAGCTCTGGTCATGTCACGAGCCAATGGGTCCCCTGCTCTCTGTGGCTTCAAATTATCCCATATGGAATCTTTGTACACCAAGAACATGCCCACTGCTATGGGAGAATTACAAAATATGGTCCTTACATGTTTTTAGAGACTAAACTTAGCTCCCTTAGGGAAAAATGGTATTATTCACCTGATACTATCTAAAGAATTCAAAATAATGACATTTAACAAAAAAAACAAAAAACAAAAAACAGAGATCTGGCCACTTGCCCCAGAGCATGGTAAGATCCTATACTTTGGGTAAAATCATTAGCCCTTGCCCACAGCCAACATGTGCTGCACAGCTTATTAGCCTCTTTCTTAGCTGGGGTGGGAAGTTGCTATGTGAGGTAATCTGTTCTGTGGAGCTACACTCGAACATTCCCTCTCTTTGAGCTCAGGACTGGTTCCCGTCCTTAGCAGTTTTAAGTCATTGCCTCATTCCCCTTGCTTTAAGGCCTTGTGGTAAGAATCATTTTCTTCACTAGTAGCCACACATGGCCTTACTAGATTCCCCAGATTCATTCTTCTTCCCAGAAGCTTCTCACCCAGACACTTGGTGTTTTATGATAAACTCCGGGTTTATTTTCATTTCTTACAGCTTTCATGCAGGGCAGCCTCTGCCTTGTCCCCAACCCCTCTCCATCCACCTCCGTCCATGGGCCAGGTGCAGTGGGAGGTGCCTCCCAGGTGGCGCAGGGAGGGAAGAGATGTTAACTCCCCAGCCTGAGGTGTGACCTGCCGCCCAAACTGTGTGTTCTATATTCTGTTGTGTTTCGATCACCCAACAATATTCAACCGTGATTTTCAACTACTTCACACTGTTTAAGAAAATAAAGCAGGAAAGTGAAAAGTGAGGAACTGAACGGTGGACCTGCAGCCTCTCATGCTCCCGTTTCTTTTACAGGGATCACCACCGTGCTGACCATGACGACCATCAACACACATCTTCGGGAGACGTTGCCCAAAATCCCCTATGTCAAAGCCATTGACATGTACCTCATGGGCTGCTTTGTCTTTGTTTTTCTGGCCCTTCTGGAGTATGCCTTTGTCAACTACATTTTCTTTGGAAGAGGCCCTCAAAGGCAGAAGAAGCTTGCGGAAAAGACCGCCAAGGCAAAGAATGACCGTTCAAAGGGTGACAGCAACCGGGTAGGCCTCTCGGCCTCGGCCGCCCCCACTCTGCCTTTCCCAGACCCGCAGACCCCGCGGCATCACGGCCTTTGAGTAGGAGTGATGCAGGCTTCTTGATTGTAGCCTGAAAGGTGGCGTCTGCAAGTCACTGAGTTTTATAGAAAAGCAAAATGGGTGCAGAAGTTGGAGAAGCCAAAAGCTTGCCAGTTTCCTGTGAAAAGAAAAGGAAAGATATAGGGATGAATGGATCTCTGGGGTGTGGGGCCCAAACTTGACAGTCAAAAGCATTTTCAACAATGTTGCAGTTTTCCTTCAGTGGTCAAATTACAAATGTGATAGCCAGCGTGCTGTTGTTCTTTGCATGGTGTGGACAGCCCCCTCTCTCATCTGCCCTGGTTCAGGGTCCCTAGTGCAGGGCAGGAGCAGTGCACTGTCCCAGGGCTCTCGTGCATCTGCCCTGGGCCAGCCCTGCTGGCTGTGTTCTGCAAAATGCCAGGCAAGCAGCCCAGGACAGCAGCAGCCAATCAGGGAGCTGCTCTAGGACCCGTGGGCTCTGAACCCAGAGAGAGGGCACCAATCAGGTCCCTCTCCAGCCCTCCTCATCTCACGCTTACATCCTTCCAATTACAAACTTTGCAGTTAGATGTCATTTCGGTTTATTTTTTAAATAAAAGCAATATGTTATTGCAATTATAAATACTATTTTAGTGAAAGCACATTGTCATTTCTATAAAATTTTTATCTTTATCCTTTTACCTCTTGCATCCCTTCAAGTCCTCAAAAATATACCTCCACCCGTTTACATACTGGGCTTGTTCCTATATTTCTTCACTTTTAAATTCTTCTTACTAAACATACTTATTTCTCAAGCTCGTGAGGTTTCCTTGTTCTTTCTGGTACTCTTGGTGCATTGCCGGCCCAAGCCTCTCCCGGGGTGCAGAAGCTCCCTGGAGGAGTGCTGTGCCCATGGCCCACCAGTGGCCCAGAATAGGTCCCCGGATGTTCATGAATGAGTGAAGGTAAATGGCTGTAAATGGCTCCTATCCTTTCAGCAACACATAAATAGACTTGGTCTGAGAAACTAGGATCTGTGAATAAAATCAGGCTTCCACAGGCAACATGACCCTAAATTTCTTACTGGAAAGTATACTTAGCACCATACTGGTGTGTTTCTAAATTAGTCCACATCCTATTATGCATACACAGTATACTTTGGTAATACTGTTTCCAAGGAAACTAGAATTCATCACATCATTATTTTTTCCATTACACAGACACGCAGACACATACAATGCTGTTTTTCCAAATTCCCTCATAATTTAAACAGATTTAAAGTTTATTTCCTTTCTTCTAAATGACACTCTTTAGAAAGGTTAAATTGTTGTGCTACAGAAATACCTTTTTGAGTGTGAAGCTTAAAATTTAAAACAAAGGAAACAAAATCCCCCAAATCTCTAAATCCACAGACGAAATTAAGCAGAATGTAGAAATAATATAAATCAGATGCAGAGGAAAATTCATGAGTCCATTTTTACTGTTTGCTTTTCTGAAAATTTGTTTCTGTTTTCCCAGCAGTTTTCTTAAAGCCTTTGCATGTTCATATTTTTAAAAATCTGTAATTGTAGACATCAGCTCAGACATACAAATGCATGTATGCTAGTTTTAAATGCATATTTGATGCTCTTAAAGGTAAGCATTAAAAGCTGTTGCTGACTAGATGGCAAACAGGCACATGAAAAGATGCTCAACATCACTAATTATTAGAGAAACACAAATCAAAACTATGAGTTATCACCTCATACTGGTCAGAATGGCCATCATCAAAAAATCTACAAACAACAAATGCTGGAGAGGGTGTGGAGAAAAGGGAACCCTCCTACACTGTTAGTGGGAATGTAAATTGGTACAGCCACTATGATGAACAGTATGGAGGTTCCTTAAGAAACCAAAAATAGAGTTACCATATGATTCTGCAATCCCACTCCTGGTCATATATTTGGAAAAGATGAAAACTCTAATTCGAAAAGATACATGCACCCAAGTGTTCATAGCAGCTATATTCACAATGGCCAAAACATGAAAACAACCCAAGTGCCCGTCGACAGATGAATGGATAAAAATGTGGTACATATATACAATGCAGTATTACTCAGTCTTAAAAAAGAATGAAATAATGCCATTTGCAGCAACATGGATGGACCCAAGAGTATCATACTAAGTGAAGTAAATCAAACAGATAAAGACAAATATATCATTTATATGTGGAATTTAAAAAAAAAAAAAAAAGATGATAAAGTGATCTTATTTCCAAAACAGAAATAGACTCACAAACATAGAAAAGAAACGTATGGATACCAAAGGGGAGAATGGAGGGAGGGATAAATCGGGAATTTGGGATTAACAAATATAAACTAATATATGTAAAATAAATAAGCCACCAGGACCCTGTATAGCACAGGGAACTATATTCAATAGCTTGTAATAACATATAATGGAAAAGAGTGTATTTATATACATATATATGTGTGTATATATATATATATATACAACTGAATCACTTCGCTATATAACTGAAACATTGTAAATCAACTATACTTCAATTTAAAAATATCGTTGCTGACCACACCTAAGAATTTAGTGATAATTTTAAAGTAGAAATGCACCTCCCAAAAGTTCATATCACATGATCCGAATGAATTAAAAGAAAGTAAAGAATAAAAAATTTAATGCAAAACAGAAATGGCACTATGCACAGGCCAACAGTTTCAAGAGTTCTTTGTAATTATAATTATTCACACATTCATTTTCAGTGATATCTCTTGGGATTGTTTATCAGTGTGGCCAGCAATGGCCTCAAGGAGCCCCTCTGTCATAGTTGGGAGCCAAGAGGCTCGGGGGCTGAAGCTTTTCTTGGACTGATGGACACTGGGTGACAGCCAGGACTTGTACTGTCATTGTCTTTGCTTGTGTCCTGTAAGAGATCTCAGGGTGGTGTCCTCAGGGGCTCTGCAGGCCACCAACGTGACCATGACGCTATTGAACCTAATGTCAGACCATGAGTAGATTTTCCTTAAATTTAGTGATTGAACTCTATTTTAACTTAGTGGCAGTGTTCACATAGTCACTTAGTTTGTCCTCAGACCAGTGGTGCAATGAAAATCCTGACCTTAATTTATTTGTGCTTAACCTCTGTTTGTTCCTGAGTTGTTTCTATACCCAAGAGTTAGTCTTTGGTTGTAATGCATGTATTATGGTTACAAGCCTTGTGATATTTTGCAAGTTGACCAAATGGTATTTGAATTTCATGAAGTGGCAGAAAGTTTTGCCAAGGAATCAGAGCTGCAGGCTTGACATCATTCCTCTTACTAAAGAGCAAGATTTCATTTTTCACATGATAAATATTTCCTTATTTTCCTGAAACTAGAGTATTTTACTCATTTTGAAGATTGAAGGTTAGTAGAGAATGAGATGTCAACAGTGTGCCAATCTGGTGACAGATTCTTGGAAAAAATGAAAATCCCTCTAGGATACATTCCACATGAGATGTTTTTCATCTCTGAATATTTCTGCCTGTCCAGGTTATGAAGTGGGAAGAAAAACTACATTGAAATCAATGAATCTAATTATAGTAGATATGAGACAAACTCCTCAAAATAAGTAGTATTCATGAAATGCTTCAGAAATTACAAGTCATCACTGTCATTCTATACAGGACATTTTTACAATCCCATCTGTTTTGAGAGTTAAATTCTAGATGATAGGAAAAGATTAGCATCTCTTCTGGAAATATTTGTTTAAAATGTTTGGTTTCTAAGATTTAAAAGATTTTAGTAACCCTTTAATTCTTGCAGAAAAAAATACCTTCTAGTAGTTTCAGTGTAAATTTTCTACACACTGGTTCACGTTTAAATGAAAACTATGCAAGTGTAAACCTATGTCAAAAGCAGCCAAACTAATTTACTCTAAGCTCTTATTAATTCCATGTATATGTTCAAGTTCCTTTTGACATGGTTGTTCCATTGTAGCTGTTCACCCCACTCTGAAATGGAGCAATGCAACCATATTGGTTCTCAAACAGCTTTGAGGCAGCCACAGGTGTCAGAGCACCCTGGCACCCCAACTTTGTAAACATTGACAACATCAGGTTCAGCTTCCCTCAGGGTGGGTTTCCTTCACTGGAATCCAAGAGTGCAGACTTAGACCCACCCTCCAAAGTTCTTTTCCAAATGCACAAAACTGGCCACAAGTGATAAGGGAAGACAGGATACTGATTCGTACAGATTTGTCATTAAATCTTGAAAAATCAACTCAACATCCAGTTGACCTTACTTCTTATGTTTTTTTCACTCTCCCTGTGGGCTTCCTGAAATCACCATACACCTTATTATCTCTTTGCCTTTGATTCCCTCTTCCCAGAATCCCTCTCTTATTTGTCCACATCTTCCCCTCCTTCAAGACCTAACCCAGATGCTCTTCTCTATGATGTTTTCCTGATTTTGTCTACCACTTGTTCCCATCCTGCCTCTGACAATCCCCACTCCAAGCAGGTGGTCTTGTCCCTGTTCTTCTAACCTCCAGGGCACATACTCTGTGCTTCGGAGATAGATAGCAGGTCACATTTCATGTGGCCACTGTGCCTTCTGTCCTAGACAGCATCCCATTCTTTGCATCTACCAAAAGGTGCACACTGGGGCTGGATGTGGTAAGTGCTCAGGGAATGTGTGTCCATGAATGAGTAGTGTTTGTCATCTGTTTGGTTCCACTGAAGCCACGTGTTTTCTCACTCTTCTAGTGGGAAGGGGGGGAAGGTTCATAAATGTACCTTTTTTTTTTCTAATTAGAACTATATCTTAAAAAAAAAATTTTATTGACGTATAGTTGATTTACAGTATCGTGTAAGTTTCAGGTATACTGTACAGTGATTCAGTTATACATGCAAATATGAATGTATACATACATAAGAATCTTTTCCAGATTCTTTTCCCTTATAGGTTATTACTTCACGCTACTATGTATAAAATACATAAACATTCCTTTAAAGCCAGGTGAAATTCTGCGTCATTAGAACCATCAAAGTTCTACCTAATAAACGTATCACAGAATACTCCTTTCCTTCTTTAATATTAGACATTCCTTTATTGGTATTTTGTTCTACAAAGTCATTCATCATAATCCCCTAGATTTTGATAAAAGGAGATTTGCATATGGCATTTTTGATAACTAGAAAAGAGATGGAATTGTTGGCATGTATTTTAAAATGTGCTTTAAGGGCAATAGGCAGTACCTTCTAAAATGCATTTGCTGATTATTTGAAGCTCTCACCTGCTCCACCCCTTGAGGGCAAGGACCTTCTCTTACTCCTCCGTGCATTTCAGTAAAGGCCAGCTAATCTGCCCATCACCCTCACCTCCTTGTTGCCTTAGGGCCAACTGCCCACAACTTCCGAAGCAGGTCCAGATCATCCCCTTCTTAGGGAAGGTGATGACTTCCGGTGGCCCCAGCACACCCCCAGTTCCTAGGTGGTTTCTACAGAGGACATGCTACTGCCCAGTCCCTTGCTGCCCTTTCCTTTGCTGTCTCCTCCTGTTTCAGCCATACCTTCATTTACCTGTTGGGCTGCTCCTCCCACATGACTCAGCTCCAAACCACCGGATGGATGCCTCATTGATCCCCCAAACAGGAAAATAGACTTTTTTGTTGTAAGGATTTTACTGCCAATCATTCCAGGGAGAGATGATGAAAAGAACAGATACAGAACACAAGTCCTTACAAAGGTCTACTATTCCTGGTACTTTCGAGATACAAACCCCATTAGAATTTTAACCTCCATTTTAGAATAAAAAAATAATAAAACTTTAATTTTCTTCTGGCAGTGCTCTGCTCCTTCCCCAAGAATTGGTCTCCATGAAAAGCCTTCTCCCTAATACGAATGGTATTATCTTGGTCTATTCGTGTCTCCCGGCACCCCCAGGTGGGCTGTCTTCCATTCTCAGGAGACCGTAGACCACAGTCCATCCCACCTTGGCCCTTCTCACTCATCACGCAGGAACACTGAGCCCAACCCAGGCTAACATGGGCCAGCTGCTGCACCCTGAGTCCACATTGCGAGTATTTCTTCAGGGAGCTCAGGAAGGGCCAGGAGGCTGGGTGGGAGCAGGGTGATGAGTAACTCTCTCTCCACTCCTTTCCCACCTTCTTAACTGCAGAGATGCAGAAATGACCAGGTGGTGGTGAAGCATCGCTGAGTGTCCTGCGTGGTCTAGAGGAAATGCTGGGATGGGTTTCAGTGGCTGGCAGGGAGCAGTTACCACCTCCTGGCATTTTGCTCCCAGACTGCCCTCAAGGAAGAGAGACCAGTGTGGTGCACACCAACTAGGGTCTGTCTCTTCACTTTCTCCCTTTAAATCCATCTTTTATTCTTTATTCTGCCTCTTAAGTTGGGTTTCAGAAATGTGTCACTATTTCACTTAGAAATCACTTTTATTTCTCATTACCTAAAGGGTAAAGGTGAAATTCCTTTAATGGCTTGACTCTCATCTGCTTCCCATTCACCACCAGGTTTTCTTTCCTGTAATAAGGTGATAGGTAGATGATGACAGGGATGAGAATGACAGTCGCCTCTGTCTCCAGCTGAGCATGGGCCAGGAGTTGAGCGTGTGCATCCATTCTCTCCAGGACTTGAGCCCCACTCAACTAGTTTGCCCTTCTCAAAATACTTCAGCCACTCTTCAAGGCTTTGTCTGTATGTTTTTCTGGCTTTTTGCCTGAGAAATTTCTACTCATTCTTGAGACCCAGTTCAAATTCATCACCCCTCTGAAATCTTCCCTTTTCTGTCCTGTAGTAGTTTTGATTACAGCCACACAAACTTAACACTTAAAACAACACTCAAATGTTATCCCACAGTTGGGTCAGTCAGAAGTCTGGGTATAGTGGGGCCAGCTCAGTGGGTACCATGGTTCCTTGTGGTTGTAGGACTGAGGTCCCTGTTGCCTTGCTGGCCCTTGGCCAGGGCCCATCTTTTCTCCTAGAGGCTGCCCCTTTCTTCTCAGGCCTTCCCTGAAGTTCTCTCAATCAAAGGTGAATCCAGTCCTCACTCTTCAAATTCTTCTGGCTTTCAATTTCTGCCACATCTTTCAGACGTTCTCTTCTGCTTCAAGCTGGAGAAAGTTCTCTGCTTTTAAGGTCTCATGTGATTAGATTGGGCCCACTTGGATAATCTAGGCTACTCTATCTATTTTAAGGTCCATGACCTTAATTATGTTTGCAAAGTCCCTTTTGCATAACATACTCAAAGGTCTGAGGAGAAAGGGGTGATATCCTGATGACCACACCTTTCCTTCCCCAAGCGTAATTGAATGGTATTCTCAAACCATGGCGGGGCGGTGGGGGGCACCTCTGAGTCTTTTTTGGTGCCTTTGTGCAAGAGCCTGAGTGGCCCCAGGATGTTGAGAGCCCTTCCTGTGTCTAGACAACCTTGGTGTCTGGGGCTATCCTACCTGCAGTCCAAGCACCACTCAGAGATCTGCACGGGCCCCTACTCTTCGTGTTGGGAGTCTTCTCTCCCAACCTCACCTCCTGTACATCTACCTTAAGGCCTAGCCTCAGGCATGCTCCATGAAAGTTTAGTGGCAGACCAATAAGTAAAATGGACCATTGGCGTCATCATGAAAGGTCTGAAGCTGTCTTTAGCACAGAATAAAATGTTATTTTAAAGTTTGGCTCCGATGTAAGAAAGAACTTTAGCCTATCTTAAATATAGCTCTTAAAAAGGAGGTCACCTGCCAGGAGCAGAATTGAGTGAGGAGATCGTATTTGGGTGGGGGTCTTTATCTAATCCACCAAGGTCATTAGGTGTGTCCATTCATCACAGTACTTGCTTGTTTCTTCAGGGTAATTTGGATATTTTTGTACCATCAGAAAAGGAGACAAATCACCTTCCAAAGAAGAATGGGAGAGTATAGTTTCTATCCAGTATATAGTTGTGAAAAATGGTTATAATACCTGTTAACATCTTGAAAGACATTTGTACTTTAATCTTGTCTTCAATAAGGACTTGTACCCATAATGTGGAATTTCAGTTTGAAAAGGGCCCCCTTATTTTATCTAATTTTCTACATGAGAATTTTTAAATCAAGGAAATCAAAACTCTAATCTGCAGTTAAGCCCACAAAATGACACTTTCCACTAAAATAGAGTGCTGGCTTTGACAGATGTGCAATTTCTCATACTATATGTGACATGGCTGCATGACGTAAGTCTGTTCTGGGTTTGTATGTAGAAATTAGGTTTATTGGCATGCTATGCTAGCTGTCTAACAATGTGTGTTTTCTTCCAATTAGGTGGATGCTCATGGAAATATTCTGTTAACATCACTAGAGGTTCACAATGAAATGAATGAGGTCACAGGTGGCATTGGTGATACCAGGAATTCAGCAATATCCTTTGACAACTCAGGAATCCAGTACAGGAAACAGAGCATGCCTCGGGAAGGGCATGGGCGACACATGGGGGACAGAAGCATCCCGCACAAGAAGACCCATCTACGGAGGAGGTCTTCACAGCTCAAAATTAAAATCCCTGATCTAACCGATGTGAATGCCATAGACAGATGGTCCCGGATCGTGTTTCCATTCACTTTTTCTCTTTTCAACTTAGTTTACTGGCTGTACTATGTTAACTGAGTGACTGTACTTGATTTTTCAAAGACTTCATTTAACACTGAGTGAAATATTACTCTGCCTGTCAAGTTTTTATACCTGTACACACACAGACACACACACAGACACACACACAGACACACACATATATACATAGCAATTGTATATATATGTGAACTTTCTCAGCATATATATAAAATACACGTGTATATGAGGATGTATGTGTATATGTTTATACACACAGGTGTAAGTACCCATGTGTATGTCAAACAAATACACATACATATATACATTTTGCAGCTATGGACAATTTAACACAGGATGCATATTAAAGAAAGTCATAGTTTTTTCTTTTTTAATTGAAAGGGACAAGCTTCGTCTAAATATTATGCCTTGAGAATGAGGGCGCGAAACACAATATCATCCCAAAATGTGTCTTTTACTATCATTAGTTAGATGTTTTAGTTTAAAAATCAGGAAGAAACTTAGTTATTCTTCGAAAACTCATACAGTGGTATTGCTAGTTTAAAACCAGTCACACTTCATACCCTCTCTTTCAGTTTATTAAGTGAAGGTTTTTCGGCTTTCTTGGCAATGGGATTTGTTTTCGTGGGGCAGACTTTTTCTGTATGGTTCCGTGGGTGGGGTGAGCCTCTGGTATATGCTCACCTGTTTCTTAAACATAGGTAGAGCCCACATTGATGTCTGCATGTCCATCTTTTGAAAGCCCATCGGGGATGGATGGCATCTCATTGTAAGTACTCTGCTGTACAGTGTATTTCTCTGCTCACTTGGAGTGGATCCAGCTTCCGCATCATGTGGGACACGGCAGCACATTTTGGCAAAGTTGAGTTGACATTTCAATCAGTGAACACGTGCTTTACATCTCTTATGGATTTCTAGGCCTGGTATCTAATGGAAAGCTTAGACGTCTCAGGTTATTTGTTACTTTAAGGTAAAACCATCTAGGGTGAATTTCCCCCTTGTCTTTAAGTTATCAATCACTCATAACATTGTATGTTAATATCAAATATATTTGCATAATATGCATATATATGCATATTTACCAAGATTTTCTTTCTTACTCTTGCTATCATGGCAGCATGTGATGTCATATTTTCTTTCTGTGATGTAACTACTTTCTGTTCTCTAGAATTAAGATCGAAACGAAAAACATTTCTGTTCAATTTCAGAAACCAAGAAACATCCTCATGCCTTTATTTCTATATCTGACATATTTCACAAGCACATCCAACTACTCCTAGTGTAACTAGGATGCTGCAGGAACACGACCAGTCCACACCATGCATCACCAAGGGACCCATGACCGTTCTCTTGAGGCAAAGGAGAGCAACATGACAGCAAACACAGTCATTTTTGGTTTCTTC